TGACAGATGCCAACCCTTGACAAACTCGATGGCCATTCAGATGGTGGTAATGGTTGATAATGGGTGTCAACTGACGGTTAATATCACACAAAACATGTGTTTAATTGAAATTAAAAGCGAGAAAAACGGAAACAAAACAAAACATTTGACAATAATTTTGCCGCAAAACACATAAAACAGCAAAACATGTGACACAACAGACCCACCAATGGCTGACTCGACGCTAATCCCAGTAACCAATGAGTGAACGAGAAATGAATGAAATCATCTCATTTTGAGTGAATGAATGAGCGCTTTGTTTGAAATAATTATACAAACATTGATTTTAGTAATTAATGAATTCATTTAATTTAATAATCCATTCAATTATCTCAATATATTAATAAAAAACATTTTTCATTCAAATTCATCAGTGAATTACTTAATTATAATTGCAATACAATTGTCAGTTGTATTAAATAAATAAATTTAATAGATTTATGAATATATAATTCACATAAAACTATCTCTAAATGGTATTAACTATTAATTAAATCTAAAGTTTTCCGACGACTCAATGAATATTCAATAAAATCTAAATGATAACACATTTACAATCAATTTTAACATAAAATGAAACAAAACAATACTTTAATTATTGTTTACAATAAGTTGCCGATTGAGTCGCGGATATCTTAATAAATGGTGATTATTATCTCAAATCAGATAATATGTGACATAATTTGTTTCATATGTATCACAGTTTTCACTAAAAAATAGTTTAAAAACTCAAACAAATAATTAAAAACTAAAAACAAAATTCATATAAATTAAACATAATTATCAAAACATAAAATAATATCTCATTAATATATTAAACTTTTTGTTTCGTTTGGTAATAAAAAGTGTGTTTAAAATAACTTAAATATGAATTATTGATATAATGTTCAGCAATCGGAAAGAGTGCTGACATGACTGGCATCAGACAAATCGGCTGAATCTTCCGACTTCTGGGAACTGGAGTTAATAGAGTGGTAGTCGTCGTCGTGTTTGCGTAACAGAAGGACACTGTCTTCGCCTAATATTGAGCACAACTCTTGCAAACGGTTCTGCATTTTGGGAACCCCTCCGAGCGATGACTCGAGTTTCTCCTTCTCCTCGCGGAGTGTGAGTCGTGTGGAAGTGTCCAATGGCTCTAAACGCCATCCGCCCTCTCCGTCAAACTGAAGCAAATGTGTGTGAAATTTCCAGAGCGACGGCCGGTGTGTAATCGTAATCAACGAAATGCCCATATCTTTGGCCGTTTGGTACACATGACTCTCGACGTCTATGGAGACGGCGCTCGTGCACTCATCCAGAAGCGCAAACTCAGGCCTACAAATCAATTGGTATAACAATTTACACAAATTTTAAAACCAAGTATTTATACCGATGGTAGAAGAGTCGGGCCATTCCCATGCGTTGTTTTTCACCGCCGCTTAATATGTCCTTCCAGTCTCCTCTTCCACTCCAACCGCCCTCTCGTATAACGATATGCTTGAGATGAACCTGAGTTAGGATTTCCATCAGGTCTTCGTCGGTCACGCCTTTGCTTTGCATCGTTTCCCAGTCGTCCGGATATATGACTTGATCCCGAAGTGTTCCCAACGACATGTATGGCCGCTGAGGGATGTAATACATTTGCTTAGAGTTCGGTCGCTCTAGTTTGCCACCGAATGTAGGCCACAGTCCGGCCAGTATTCGGAACAATGAACTTTTGCCGCAACCGTTAGGACCAGTAATTAACAAATGCATATCTGTTGTCATCTAATAAATGCATTTAAATAATAAACATTAAAATCCTATAATAATAATAAAAATGAGTGATCATTGAGTACTACCGTAAAGGAAAGACTGGGAACGACAATATCACAATTGGGTGTAATAATAGGCACGTTCTCTAACCGCACATAACCGCTCACTTCAATCACTTGACCTAAAAAATAATGCAATAATTTATTATTAAATAATTATATGTCAGTCTTTAGATCTGTATTTAATGTATACATCAATGAAAGAATTGGTAATTAAGAGTTCTATAAAAACCTTTAATTTCAGGCATTCCGTCGTGAAATGAAAGCAACGATTGATTAGACTTTTTGAGTTTGTTGGACGACTTAGCAATGGTTCGCTTGAACTTGCCTTCACTCACTTCTTCAAACACTGTCAACATTTTGGACACTCGACCCGTATATCCGGCCAACTCTGTCACCTAAAACCATACATAGAGACAGACATACAGTCAATCAATCAAACAAACCATTCATTAATCATAGCAATGAGAAATGGATTTAAAACAAGTCAATGACAAAAAACATTGAATTGTAAATTCAATTCCTGTCTAAATATAAACATTACTCTTAATAATAGAAAAGTTTTGATATATTATTAAATCATCAAATTATTGAATCGAAAAGACTTGAAAACAAAATAAAAGTACAAAACTTTCTCTTTTAAAAAATGATTAAAACTTTTCAAATAAACAAATTTACCTCTTTATAGGAGGAGAGAAGTCGTTCGAGAGCATCGGCGCCGGCGATCAATATATTCTTAGCGGTTGTCATATATTGTGTCCGTTCGCTCACATCGTCGGACGGGTGGTCGGAATCGTCGGATCCGGACGTGAGCCGTGACATACCAGTCATGCCTGTCATGACGGGTACGGCAATGATAACCATTCCGGTGGCGCTCCAGACGTACTTCATTAGGAACTGTTCGAGCATTATATACCACAAGCGCTTATTGAATATGACATTCATCTGTCGGGCCAAGTCTTTGTACGCCTTCTGAAGAATATTCATCTCAATTTGATGGCCGCCATAAAAGGCGATCTCTTCGGCGTTTGCGATCACTCGCGAGTGAATGAATCGCAAAAAGCCTTTACGTCGCGCCTCTTCGGCCACCAATTTGCCGAACTTAGGCGAAGACCAGC